CACTGTGTGACATACTGTGGGGAGAAGTGTGTTCTTTCCATCTTTACTTGACTTTTAGGATCGCTACCTCATCCCATATACAAGTTCAATTATAAAAACACCGTGGAAACGAGCGGTTTAGGCAAGAGTTTGGGCAAGTTAATATTCGCTCCGGTGTAACAAAAACTTTTTGCAAAGGCAAATCAGCTACAGATTTTGGCTACTATCCCTCATCGTGCCCTTCGTGAAGGAATCGACTTACTGCCACGGGACCATGAAGAACGATAAATTGAATAACTGCACTCCCCTCAGTACTCTAGAAAACGTGCACTTATAGTGAAGTTACATTACTCTTCCGTTCCACATTTTTATAAGCTGATTCGGAAGAAGCTGATTTATTCAAAAAGGAAATGGTTCAGCCGCTGATGGACCAGTCTAATGATAAAACTCTTTGTTCCGCTCTTTGAACAATGTTTGCACAAGAGTGTATATAATTCATTTCTTCGATATTTTGACTTAACTCCCTTTTCTCGCTTGCCACAAAAATATAGAAATTGTCGTTTTTTAACGCTTCGTACAATTTTGTCCCAAAAACATTTACCCAAATGTACACATCCTGAACCCTCATCCTTTACAATTGACTGAACTACAAAACTTTAATATCAATAGAGTAAACAATAACTAAATGGTGTATAAAGGAAAACAAAAAATCATCTACTAAACTTATTAAATCATTATTTTTTTTTCATTTATTCATCTAAGATAAAATGTTATTATATCGTAAAATAAAACATATTTAACGTAATCATAAAGAAATAAAATAAATTTAGTACTACTCGCTAAAACGATTTTTTTTTTGGAACTTTTGTTAGAAAGATTACGAAAAAGTCTTCAAATGAGTATTTGTTTTTGTAGTACACGTGCGTTTTTCAGTTACTCATTCAAACATTCTAATTCAGGCTTGTTACCAATCACGTAAAGGCATGCTTGTTGGTGAGCTGGGTACTGCGTCTTGAAAATTCGAATAACTGTTGCTTCCAAGAGGGAAAAGCAAAATAAGTAGAATAATTTAAAAAATACATAGTACAAGAAACGAACGATTTCTAAATGAAAAAAATCGTGACAGTTAACGATCTATAACAACTCGGCCAAGTCAAAAGAACAATATTCACAAAAAAATGATATTTTATATGACATATTGATATATTGTACGGCTATTTTTCAAAAATATTGCAAATCTTGCGATTTTTAATATTTATTTTTATTTATGTTAAACTTTTACTCATCTTTCAACTATTTATAGATGACGGTAAAGGATTCTGGAACTCAAGAAAACGTGTGCAAATAATATATTCCTCCATACGTCACATACAGCTTTTACTGTATTATTTGGCTGAATAAATCTAACTCTAAATCTAAAACGCTCACTTTAGAAACAGAACATCTAGTTATCCTGTAGTAAATCACGATAATGCAGTTAAAATTAATAAATTACTAGTTGTAATTTATAAAGAGAATCAATTTCAAACATGTTTCAGAAGTTATGCCACTTACGTCAAGAGCTCCGTACAATGGTTTCCTTCGATTCATCTTGTGTGCAGCGCTAATCCTCTGTGCTTTATGTTGAAGTTTATCGGGTTTAGATACATTTGACCACTTCCATTCACGACGCACAGGTATCAGATTCGCAATCACTGTCTTCAATACGCCCGTTTGAGATGGCTCACCGCGCGCAACCATTACTTTCTCAACCTTCACCTGTCCTCATCTGTTACACACACTTACATGCACTACACTACATCACATGTCGGCAGCTTAGAGCGTGGCCCAGCTGGGCCGGCGGCCTGCTGACAAGGATACCTGGAGTGGGGAAACCCCGCGAACCAGTGTGTGGGTCATGGCCGATTCGCACTTCCAGAGGAGGAACACCGCCACCTCCCAGGATATTACATGTGCTTCACTTCCAAGGCTACTTACTATAGTAGTTGACGCGCGCGGAAACGCAAAATAATCGAGTGAATCTCCATACTCCCAATAATGCATGTACACAGCGGAATAAGATTGAGGACACCATAGCGGACAGCACTTCCGATCATCTGCGCATGCGCAGATGCACTTATGTGCTGCAAAACTTGATTTGCGCCAGCGCCGAAGATCGATAGTGCTTTAACGTTCGAGGATCCACAAACTCCCTACTTTCGTATTTTTGTGATTCCGAATTGCGAACTTTCCATGTTTGTCTTGGCATCTGAGGAAGCATGATAACACAAATTTGGTGACATGTTTTCTCTAATGTCATAAGTAAATATTAACTAACAAAATACAGTTCGCTAGAGGGTTGATGTTTGAATCGCGAAAATACTCGAGCGTTCCCAAAACAAGACGAAACCAATTCCGACATTTCATTCTTAATTTTTGTTACAATTGAGAATTTTCATTGTCTTTTTGGATCCCTGAATACAGATACATTTAACTTTTTAATGATAAAACGTGACTTTTACCGTGATAATAGTATATTAAAAGTTAACTAACAAACTTGGGATTGGCAACGTATGTTAAACAACGACATTTTAATAGATTAATGTAATGTGTTAAAATGTAAGAAATTGATTGCCTGAAAACTGTCCACATGTCAGACCGCATACAAGTAGTTCTTATCAAATTCCGAAATTTTAATCCTTGGTCTTATATGTTGAGCCGCATGCTTCCATGATCACTGAAACTAATATTTTCACTTAAATGAAAGCTATCCACCCTATTAATGTTAGAAAAATCCTTCACCTGTCCTTCACCTTCCGTCCCCCCGAGGGCAGTAATAAAGAAGTTGGTTTTCACAAATGCTAAAATATTTTTACTATATTTAACACAAAATAATAACCTAAAATCTTCCAAATATAGTGTTAATTGTATATCAAATTTTTCATTGCACTTCGACCAACAAATAAAACTGAAAATATATTCTAAATATTGTCTCTGAAAATAAAACTTCTTCATTGATCACGTCGAACAAGTTTTGGAACGCACCTTTCAATTTTCAAAGATCTTACTGTCAAAATGGCAGTTTCTTCTCAGCAGTGCAATATGTTAGTGAAAAGAAGCATGAAGTCCATTTCCCGATATTACATTTTGTTGCGTCACTCTTTCAACACATGTATATAAAAAGTGTTGGTGTATATGTATATGTTGTATCTATTTTAGTGTGTTTTGTGGCGTAAACCGCATGTAAAAAATGTTTCGGTGAATTGAAGTTATATGTTTGTGTTTTGTAGGTTATGCTTGATATTGTCATTCCCTCGCTACGTATTAACGTATCAGCGACTATAAGGGAATTATTTATACATTGTTTATTATAATTTCTTATAAAATGTTTTTGGGCTTCTTTATTGTTTTGTTTCAGCATGAATTATCTAGCTTTTATTTTAAAAGGATACCTACTGCAAAGAAAAATGGCACGTGGAAAGAAGTTGAGTGATAAAGAAAAGAAAGTAAAAAAGCAGTTTAACAGGAAAAAGCGAGAAAAAATTAAAGCTAGTCCCGAGACTTCTCAAAAACTACGGGAAAAGGACGGATTAAATATTTAGGAAGAAAGAATTGGGTCAGGTAAAAGCTGTTACTATTCTGAGTTGTAGATAATTCGGGCAAAAACGAATGTAATGGAAACAGAGAAGTCACGTATACATAAATAAAAAAGCTGATGTACACTAAAATTTACAAAGAATACTTGACGACC